ATCATTGTTGTTTGGCGGGTCCGGGCTGGGGATTCGAACCCGCCACCTTAGGTGTACGTGGCTGGCGCCTTAGCCGGTTGAGCTATAGGCGCTGAGCCTAGTTTTTCTTTCTGAAAGACTTTTATAAGGCTTTTTGTTTATGTTTTAAGAAAGAAAACTTCAGGCCATGGGAAAGCTGTAACTCAGTGACTGGCAGTGATGAGGTACAAACTTGACCCAACAAACACCCACAACGACATTTTTCACAGTCACAGAATACCTGTTGGTAAATCTCAACTTTTCAACTTTGTACCTCCTATAACATTCATTTACTTACAGATCTGGGCTGCCCTGAGAATCTCCGGTTATAATCATTAATATCTTGATGTAATCTTACAGCATCCTGAGACTGATCATCTTCACCAAATACTGTCAGGAGTAAAGTTACCTGTATATCACAGGAAAAAAACTATTTCAACTTCTGACATAATTTTTTTCATTTTGTGTCATTCAAGAGAATGATAAAAATTTCTGAATTCATATTTTACTCATTTATTTTAATAAAGGCAATCTGGCCAAGGAGGAAGGAGTTATTACTGCCTTGCCTTATAATAAAATCCAAGGCGGAGTATAATTTGAACTCCTATAAAATAAAATAAGCACCATATCCAATGCTGGTTCTAATGTTTTCCTGTCCACACCAGGGATAAATCCAGTTGTTCTCTGGACTGACAGCTATTTGAAGATACAAGAATGATGAGACCTTCAGGAGCAAAGTGACATAACACACACTTATCACTTTGAGAAAGACAAAATTATGGATTTACTTTTTGGTTATGAAACTAATGATTCTTTATTCTCACTGTATTTGAAAGATCTTTGAATGCTGCCAACCATAACTGAGAGGTTAAATTACTGCAGGGACCAATGGCTACTATAATAAAAAAAAGTAATTCTTGATGCTTTTATATAAGACAAGACATTTAACCTTGCTTCCTCCCTGGCTGTGGTAAAGAGAATACACTAATGTCCCAGGGCAATACTGGGATAATCTGAAGGTGACGGTACCTTGAAAAATCAACACATTTAAAAACATAAAGCCGTACAGAAAATGGTCAGTGATGAGGTGATGATGAGATAAACATGGGAAGGAGCAGTGACAGGTTTAAGTCATCCAGCTGTTGTTTTTATCCTTCCTCTGTTCAGCTGTAAAACCAGGGCTTCCCACTGCTAGATGGTTTCCAAACAGCTAAACAGAAGAATGACTAAGTGAAGTAGGTGGTGGGAACAGCAGGTACAGCCATCTCTTCCTTTGCACATTTGTTAATAAAAATGCATTCTTTCCATAAACAATAAGGAGCACCTGCTATTATGCTACACCCTGGGCATACAACAAAAACAAAAGAACCCCGGAGATAGGACCCTGCTGCTGGGTGAGCACAACCCCCCAAATACAAGGAGAAGCAGATCTCTGGCTCATGGCAGGTGAGTAAGGACCTCTTCTTCTGGTGGGGCCAGAAAGTTAAAACTTGAGCTAAGCCTTGAAATGTACTGAGCTATTTGGAAAGCATCTACGCAGCGGGAAGCCGTGGTTCCACAGGGGTGCGCTCCCGTGGGAGGCAGCAGTCTGTGCGTTCCTACGCCCACAACCCTTTATGGAAGGAGCCCCAGGAGGCAGGACAGGTACCTGCCATCTCTCCTGCATCTAGGATGAATGACTTTGCAGTTAGGACAGCTTTATTTCCAACTTACTAGCCTCTAGTCAGTTTTTGGATGGTAGAAAGGATACACTGGCTCAGATACATCTGCCACATGAAAGGCCATGGGTAGAGCCAAGAAGAGAGTGGAACTAAGTCTTCAGTGCAAGACCTACTACCTGGTGCTGGTGTTGCAGGCTGATGGCAAAGGATGGTAAGAGACAGTCCTGGCAAGTAAGCTTCAGTGCTGACTACCTGTGTCATACACCACGTCAGCCAGCACCGCAACACAAAAAACATCAGTTTTCCTCCTGATGATGTGATGAAAAGTTCAATGTGCAAGAGGCACAATTTGGTTACACGAAAAGAAGAAAAGGACCTGGACCACCCTTTGCACCACAACAGGGAGGCAGCGATGGGGCAATGAGGAGCCAGAATGAAGGCTGAAGTGTGCACGCGTGTGTGGAGGAATTATCCCCTGTGAATACAGGGAAACTACTGTATTTTTGTTGTAAATAAAAAATTAAGTATAAAGGAAATTATGAAAACTTGTGCACAATTGACAGACCGTCCTATTTTGCCATATTAAAAACCTAAGATCTTTGGTTTCTCAGAATTCTTCAGTATTTTGTTTCTCTAGTTTGTCAAAGAAATTGGGAAAATTAGGCACACCTCATCTGTGCTGACCTTTGAGTCTTCAAATTTACACTGATAAAAATACTGCCTCCTTCCTGATGTGGCTTCTATGCTAAGTATAAAGGTGAGATATGTTCTCGACAGCATAATGTGGCCATGTCTCCAAAATAAATGAAACATTTAAAAATGATTATACATTATTTAAAGCTATCTGGACCCTCAATAGAAAAGGGCAGATTAAATACAGAGAAAAAGGAAAAACATTTTTTTTTCAAAAGCACTGTATGGAGGGGGAATATGCCTGAGCCTGACTAGCTGGTCAGGCTAGCTTGGTTTGCCCCTTGCTGGGAATGCAGGAGAGACCTGTTAGAGTTGAGGGAAAGATTCATTTATCAATTGTGTTTCACTATGACTGTAGGGTTTTCAAATAGAATACCCTTCTTTGGTGTTATCTTAAAGTTTTAAAAAAATAACCCAGTAACACAAACTCTAGACAAATGAAGTTCTAAAGAGATGAAAATAATTCCAGTTTTAGATACAAAAAGTATGAAAATTTACAAAATGAACTAATTTAAATGATGCTTTCTGGATATGACATGTTACCGTTTGTCTACAGATTGGACAGCTGATCGCCCCGAGCCATGAGCCGTACCGCCAGTAAGCAATGATGCAGGCACCTGGGAGGGAAAAACCTGTTAAGACTATGTTTTAAAGTCCATACATCCTCACGAAGTCTCAAATATCTGATCTATTTTAGCAGTATCACTTTATTTAAAAGTAGTTTTTACTTCATCCAACCAACTCTTTAGGCTTTTTCATATGGGGAAACACCCAGCCATTACAAAATATTTTTTATTTAAAGTACTAGGTAAGCTATAGGCATTTTACACAAACAAAAGCAAGTATGTGTTAACTGTCTGCTGCTATGAGGCTTCACGGAAAATACTGCATTTCCAATGTAATAGAAATAAAACAATAATTAAACATCACTGTAGATACAACTCAACAAATCAGAGTATAAATTTTCTGTTCCAAATTTGGTATGGATAGTATAAAAACATCCACTTTTTAAGAGTTGAGAAAGCCAAATTACTGAAGTATTAACTAATAAGCAAGGATCAAAAGATAGAAAAATTATATGCTCTCTGCCCTAATAGTTTATAATCTAGTTCAGTAATTCAATCACCCTTGTACCAGATGTTTTGATTTTCTGCTAGACAGTATTCATGAGCAGAAGACTAAGGTGGACGGTGCTACCTGAAGGGAGAGTTTGTTTGGCCTCAGAAAGTGGCAGGTGAGCTCGGGGTACAAGCACTGAACTTCAGGGTGACAACAGATGAAGTGTATTTTCGCACACTGTCTTGTTTAAGAAGGCAATTCAATTTCTTCTCTGCAGGACAGCTGCGTCTTGGACCACCAGGCCCCACTGTGAATCTGAATTGAGTGCTAAGTGCTGAACTCGGTCTCCCTCCCTCTAGGATCCTCTCCGTATCCCTAGTCTTGCCTGAGCAACCCAACTCGGCTCTCCTCCGTTCCTCTACTTCACTCCTCCAGATCAAATATGTGTTCAGAGTTCAGAAGAAGTGATGGCAATTCAACAGAAGGGATCAAGGTTACTTAAGTCAATTAGAAGGTCATTTAACCTTGAACTATGTAATGCTAACTGTGAAGTGCGGAGAAGTGTGCGTTAGCAGCTCATGGAGAAGGAAGGGTCTGGACCGAACTCTGCAGGACAGGTTAAGACTGAGGCAGACAGCAGACAGGACCCTTCCTGGCGTCTGGAGGACACTTCAGGTCTCATGAGCGACAAGAATGAGTGTCAGAGGCAGAGTTAAGGACACTGGTCCACAGCAGATGTCCAAGTCGGACATTCCCGTGACTGTGGGAAACACTCGTTCACCAATTTAAAAGCTAAACAATCTTCATCTGTCATCTTAATTCTCAGAGTGCTGTGATAATTAGATGATGCTTATTGAGTACTTCGAGCAATCTAATTTCATACAGGAACTACATGAAAACAAAGCTTGTTACTCTGTTTGTATTATCACCACCATCTGAAGTGATGCCTTAGATTTATCTACGACTTGTTCACCCACAAACTCAAGTGTGTTTTGATACATATTAAACTTATTTAATTTCATGTGTCTTTTCCACAAATTTGGGTATAGGTGTCCTTGTTTTGAAAAATTATGTAGTGGCTGTGTCCGGGCACTGGAAACCCATGACCTGGCAGTCGGACTCTGAGCTCATGCATGGCCACTGTCACATTTCCTGTCCCTCAGCCTGGCCACTGTCTTGTTTCCCGTCCCTCAGCCTGGCCACTGTCACGTTTCCCATCCCTCAGCCTGGCCAGTGTCTCATTTCCCGTCCCTCAGCCTGGCCACTGTTACATTTCCTGTCCCTCAGCCTGGCCAGTGTCTCGTTTCCTGTCCCTCAGCCTGGCCAGTGTCTCGTTTCCTGTCCCTCAGCCTGGCCACTGTCACATTTCCTGTCCCTCAGCCTGGCCACTGTCACGTTTCCTGTCCCTCAGCCTGGCCACTGTCACGTTTCC